TTAAATTTTTTAAGTGATTTTATGTGATGAGATTATGAGTTTCAATAAATTTTGTGAATTTGTATGACACTAAGCTCAAGGGCGAAGTTAGAATCCAACGGCCGTCTAGCAATCGTTCGTGCTCACTTGAATTCGATCATGCTCATTTGAATTTCTAGATCCACAATTGAATCTTAACCTATGTTTGGTTTAGATAAATATCAAATTTTTAGTAAATAATGAAAAATGATGAAATGTATGATTGAAAATATAGAGACACTAAAAATGTGTGTTTAAAATAATTGTTCATGTCGAATTAAGTTTCAATTTAATTTTTTAGTTGAAAGAAATAGGGATATAACCAAAATCAATAATATTTATGTCAAAAGAGCATGTAATTAAAAGATAGAGAGGACAATAATATAGAATAGGGACATCAATTTGGCTTATCGGCCGATCCCAAAAAAGTTCGAATTAGACCGAGTTAAGGCTCCGTTCTACCAGGTCAAGCCCCATTTTGGGTGTCTATCTAGGCCCGAGCTAGCCCATTACTCGGCTCGGGCCATTGTTCAACTGGTAAATTAAATAATAATAATAATAATAGTGCCTTGCTGAAGGCAACAGTTGCTACCTTATTTTATTTATTTATTTATTTTTTTAAAAGAGCCAACTTGATTTGATAAGGCTCGAGTCAAGCCCAAATTTTTTGGTCAAGCAAAAGTTTTGCTCAGCTCTAGCCAAACAAAACTCGAACTGTTTTGAGCCTTAAGTTTTGACCTACGAGTCGATTCGACTCGACCACTACAAAAAAATGCAGCTTCAGAGACGGAAATTTTCGTCGCTGATGCTTTAAATTTCGTCACTAATGACTTTCACAAACGAAATTAATCGGTTGGAAAATCTGTCGGTAATACCCCACCGCTAATTTTAGTGATGAATTACCTAGGTCGTCGGTGATCTAATGACGGAATAAGCCAACAGTGTTTACCAACGGTTATTTCCGTCACTAATTAACAACTATTTTTTCCGTCGCAAATTACCTACAAATTTTGTCCGTTGATGATGATACCAACGAATTTTCGTCGATAAATTGAATTAAAATATTAAAAAAATATGACTTTATTTTAATCATTATTTCCTCGAAAACTTCGTACATTAAAGTGTTAAAAAAAATGCTGAAATCTAATAGAATAATGTAAACATTTCTTAATTTTAAGTTCCATTTTCTCCCTCACTAAACAATATCATACCAATTCAAAAATTAGATTGGATACAGATTAATTGATCCTAGTTAATCACACCTTCAACAGATAATATAATATACAACAACAAAAAAAAAGGACAATTTTTTTAAAAAATCTGCAAAAAAATAACTACATAAAAAATCACACACACGATTTTCTAAAAAATAAGCACCCAAATTTTGTGGATAAAACACACACATAAATAATGTATGTATAGTTTGGAATACTAATTCCTCATCTTCTAACCTTCTTAAATCCGCAAAAACCAACACTAGAAAATAAAACACACACATAGGCACCGCAGTTGTTCAAAACAGTTTGATCATAGTGAGGAAGCCAAATGCCAATCAACAAAACACCATTACTGCTGATGGAAGAGAAGTGGCCAGGGGTGGCAATGTGTTTTGGGAGGAAATGAAATATTTGAGTGGGGATTGGATGGAGGGAAATGAAAATTTTAGAGGTAAGTCAAATTTTAGATGGGAATTGAAATTTTTTGAATTTTTCAACGAATTTTTCGTTAATAATTATATAATGCTTTTAAAAATTTAATTTGAATGTTTACCAACAAATTTTTTTCCAATGGTAATTTATTTTACCATTTTTAATATTTTTTCCAACGAAATCATCCATTGAGAAATTTTTTCACTAAATTATTTAATTATTATTTATTATTTTAAAACTTTTACCGACGGATTAGTAACAAAATTATATTAACGAAAATCTTCCGTTGGTAATTCTGTCGTTAATTTAGCATTTAATTTTTAATAATAACAAAATAGTAATCCATTGCTAATTTGTTGTAATTCTATCAATAATAGCAACGAAAGTTGTCCGTCTGTAAAATTCTGTACTATTGCCTCATTTTCTAGTACTGGACTCAACTCATTGACATCCTTCACTATAAAATTCTTTTACATTTTCTTCAATTCAAGTGGAAAATATCTTGGGATTATATAAAGTAAGTTAAGGACTCTTTTAAAGTTTGAGACATAAAAAGAGTGAAACCGGCAATAATTAAATAAAAATTAAATGGTGTGTACTTTTGAAGGCTTTTATAAATATTTTTTTAAATGATAAATTTTATAGAATTCGTGTAAATGATAGATTTGTATAGAATTAGTTGAAACTTTTCATAGACTTTATATTTATATTTTAAAACCTTATAGAAGTCATATAACTTTTGAAGATTTTAATTTAAAACAGAATTCACTTGAATTTAGGGTGAAAATTTTCATATAGGCAGTTGACATGTAATAAAATATATTTTTAAAACAAGTCAATTAGGTAAACTGATTATAAATATTTCAAACCTTTAAAATATAGATAACTAATCGATATTTAAAATTTAATTACAAACTAATTTTTTAAAAATAAAATATTATCTATTTACAAATTTATCTTTTACATAAAAAAAGTAAATTAAAAAATGAAAAAAAAGGGGGTATAAGAATTTTTTATTACAATTTAATCTTTTTTCCGTAAAAATAAGAAAAATAACAAAAAAGAGAGAGACAAAAAGAAAAAAGAAAAAAGAAAAAAGAAAGTGATCAAATATAAATGGTAGAAGAAAAATAGTAAGCTTTTACTCATAGTTCTAAGCTTCGTAGAGTAAAAATGAAATAGAAATATTAGAAAGACAAAAAATACATATTAGAAAGACAAAAAATATAAAAAAAAATTCTTTTTGAAAATCTCCAATAATTTTGAATGAATGAAAGATATCATTTTTGTACTTTCTACGCAAAAGTTCATATAATAAAAAATTATTTTGTTACATTTTGAATAATCATGACTTATAGAAACTTATAAAAAGTTTTAATTGATTACAGTAATACTTTTAAAAGTCTACAAAAATGTTCATTGAATAAATCAATATTTTAGAGAATTTAAAAAAAATAATTAAATTGAATATTGCTTGGGCCCATTACTCCAAGTTTTTGCCAATTTCATTTGAATTAATCTGCTCAGACAGCGGCCTGTCAATGGCCCCGGTTAGTGTAGTGTGGTTGATTTCATTTTGGGGGCCACATGAGTCATGAGTGAAGCGATAAGGACAAGGCAAAAACATGTGGGGGCGAGCCCTACAATTTTTTTTTTTCTCTAAAGATTCGTTTGATTGTAAAGATAAAATTTGGGTAGAAAGAAAACGAATTTCAGGGAATTGAATTACCTAGAAATGATTTTTCTGGGAATTATAAATTATTATGTTTAATTTGTATAATTTTTCACGTGAAAAATGTTAAAATAAAAGTATTTTTTGATATTCATTTAACTTTATTTTACATAAAAATTGTCAATTAAAATGATAAAATTTACTGGTATAGGGGATGAAATTTGTTTCCACTACCAAAAAAAAGAAAGGAAAATCAAGAAAATCATTTATATTTTGGTGTTCGTTTACTTTTTTTATATGGAAATTATCAATTAAAGGGAAATATTTTTTTACAATAATTTTTAGAATTTGTTTCCATTATCCAAAAAAAATAAAAATGCTACAATACCCAAGTTCCATGAAAACCAAGAAAATTTCAATTTTCCAAGAACACCAAGAAATGCAATTCCGTGAGTTAAATAAAAAAAAAAAAAAAAAAAAAAATTTGTTTCCTTTTATTTTTTAAACTCTTTGATAGAAATTAATTTGAACTCTTTTGTAGAAATCAAATTGAACAAGGATTTTACCTAAATTTTGTTCTATAAATATATACCTTAAAGGGGGCTTGAAAGATTTCATTAGACACATATATGTAAGCCAAGGCATGAAGGTTCATTGTACATACATTATTCAAGCCAAAAGAAGGGAAAAATCAAAAAAGGGAAGAAGAAGCTATCAAACACTTTTAAAATGAAAGTTGGAATTGATTTTCTATTTTTTAGAGAAAATTTCCATGTATCAAACATACCCTATACCCTAAATGGAGAAAGCTGTTTATCCTGGGATTAAATCTCGGGATTAGAGACAAGTGCTGAGTATCCTTGGTTTTTATTTTTTTAACTCTGTCCAATGATTAGACGATACATGTCGTCTGATCCAAAACCTGTTGCCAATCCTTGTTGTTGTAGCACTTCTTTTTAAATACATGTGGGGTCCGCAACCAAACAGTGAAATCTTCACATGTTTTTCCACGCCACGTTGAATGAATTCTCGATAATTTCCCATACAAACACCATTCATGATTACCGTTGGAGAGTTGTGGAGGGTACCCAAATCTGATTTCCCAGTTTACCCTTCAAATAAATTGTGGATGTCATTTAAAAGTTAAAGAATAGCAAGGTTATTGTTGGAAATTAGTTCCGAAAAGTCAGGATGTTTTTGACCTTTTGAGCTTCACAACTTCTTTTTGCAACAATTAAAAGGCCTGACTAGGTCTGTCCACCTGCAATTTCTTAACAATTAATTTAATGTTTAAAAATTAGAAAGGGTTATGACCGAAATCCCACAAATTGGGAAACACATTAAGAGTATGTTTTGGAGTAATTTTGAAAATTAATTTTTTGACCATTAAAAGAAAAGTGGGATCTATTTGTGAAAAAAAGGTCAAATATAATGACTGAAATAGTGAAATAACGATCAAAAAATCACTTCCAAACAAACTGTAAAATTTCTAAATTCTTAAAATTAAAAAAAAAAATTCAATTAATAAATATAGAAAAAGAGTATACCCTACATGTACCATCATGTACCTAAAGGTGATGGTACACGTACGGTGTACACAAGTCGCATTATCCTAAAGGGTCACGTGTATTTAATGGTAATAGTTTGTCGACAGTGAAGTGACTCACTTCATCGATATATCAAAGGCAAGAATACAATTTCCAATTTGTAAAATAAATTCTTCCTCCGCCACCACCGGAAAATGGTACCTCCGCCTTTCATTCTCTTGTTTGTAACCTTTTTAATTCGAATTTCCTCTTCCTCCGCCTTAGTTGTAAAACCACAACCGCCACTACGACACCAATCCCGCTTCACTAAACACAATTGTCATATCAAAAATTATACATCAGGTTCATACCAACAGTACTTTGAAATAACACATCCTCTGCCATTTGATAATTTGATACCATCATGTACACTTCCAGTCTTCTCCTACGACGTACACTTCATCGGCCCTCTGCCGCCGATAAACGTGGAGTATTTCCCGCCGGCGAACTGCACTTGGACCAACGTGACCCTCCACCTCATTGTTGCCTCCAATATTTCCCGATATGACCCAATTGTGGGCGTGTGGCTTGACGGCGCTGAGATCCTTCGCAGCAGCACCGCCGAGTCCACCGCAGGAGATGGCATCTTCTGGGAAGTTCGAAAGGACATTACCAGGTATACCTCGATCCTCCGTCAAGAAAAACGCACCCTCACTGTCGTGCTCGGTAACGTCGTTAATTTCAATCCCGGTTTATACCGGCTGAAACTTGACTTCTTGTACTACGATACCGACAGTAACAAAACCGACACCGACGACCTTAATATCCTCTGGTCTCCATCTCCAAAAATTTCTTCATCACATCGGGAGCATCACTCACTGGATATATATGAGAGGCCTGCGGATTTGATAATTCCGATAGCTGGAAATGGAGATGAAGGGCATTGGTTCAAAATCGAGAGTGATTTCGATGTGAAGTCCATGGGAATTCAAATTCCATCAAATACATACAAGGCTGTGATTGAGGTTTATGTTTCATTTCACGGGGATGACGAGTTTTGGTACTCAAATCCCCCGGATGCTTATATAAAACAGAACGATTTGGATACAAAGCGAGGCCATGGCGCTTACCGGGAAGTTATGGTGACCCTCGATGAGAATGTTTATGGATCAGTGGTCCCATTCCCAGTGATTTTCTCGGACGGGATTAATCCTCTGTTTTGGGAGCCAGTAGTTGCAATTGGGGCGTTTAATTTGCCTTCCTATGATTTTGAATTGACCCCATTTTTGGGGATGTTACTTGATGGGAAGGTGCATAATTTCGGGCTTAAAGTGGCTGATGCTATCTCGTTCTGGCTTGTGGATGCGAATTTACATTTATGGTTGGATGATAATATGAAAGAAGTTCAGGCTATGGGCATTGAATACAGCCTTCCAAATCTAAAATTGGAGCGCGAATCGAAGTTCCACGAGCTGGATGGAACGTTCGAGATTGAAGCGAAGAGGAAGAGTGAGTTTTCCGGGTGGGTGAATTCGAGTATAGGAAATTTAACTACCATTGTTTATCAGAAGTTGAATTTTGAGAACACGATAGAGCTCGACAACTGTGGAACTGAGAAGGTTGTGAAGCAGGAAGTGAAGGTTAAACGAGAAGTAAGAGTCAAGTCTAGTAAAGGTGATACGATTTCGCGCACCAATTTGGAGAGGAAGTTTCCCCTGAAAATCACAACTAAGACTTTGGTTGGATTAGTGAAGAATACTTATTTGATGACCACAAAACTCGAGCATTCCTTGAAAGAGGAGAAGTCGAATGAGGATTTATCGAGCTCTTTGTCTACCCGTCAAGAATGCACTGGGTGGGTGTTTGTCAAGGATAATGATGTCCTCTCTGGTGCAGCAACTACTCAACAGAGGTACACTTACAAGGATGATAATGGCTGCTACTCTAAGAGAGTTACAGCTACCGATGGCGTGCTTTCGGACGACTCGTCGAGCCTCCTCTGTGCTTCGTCCTTGTGATTCTGTTCATGTATCAACTGCAAACAAAATGGCGTGAAAGTCCCTTTTTTTGCTCCCCCCCCCCCCCCCCCCCCCCCCCCCCCCAAGTTGAAGGTATAATAATCGAGTCTGGTTATTTTGGTTCAGGAAGGTATAGGTCGAGTCATGCATCATAGACCTTTTCAAGTGATTAAGTTGGGCAAAGTTTGGTCCGGGTGATTTTTCCCCCCCCCCCCCCCCCCTCTCCTAGACCTACCTGCATATTTTTTTATTGCAATATTAGAAAGATCTTGCTAGTATCAGCGTTCGCGCGAATAATTGTGATTCTGTTTAAAGGCTTGGAATTCAATAATAATAACAATGCTTATGTTAATATATCTGTCCCTGGTTCTTCAGATGGAAGTTCATGTATATATTGGCTCAAGTTCGAACTTAGATTCTTCTCTTTCCTTTCGACACATGTTTCATAAACAATAATATAGGGTTGGTTCCAGGTAATTTAAGGCAGAACAGAACCTGGCCCTGGCTTCAGGGATTAGACTCGGCAAGCTCAGCAGCGAGAAGAAGGAATGCCTCTTCTGGGTCAGTCCCGTCTGTTATGTTCTTTCAATGCTTTTCGTGTTCCATGTACAAGGAAATAGCCACTTCTTTATACAATTTGTTAAGAGCAATTCAATTGCTAATAGAACGCTCCCTATGATCACTTTTCAACATGCTTACTATAACAGAATTAACATTGAATATGTCAAAAGGACGAGACACACAGCTTATATTTAAGTCTACAACTTCTCCTTGATTACACACACATGTAACCCTCCTTGAAAAGAAGTCGTTCTTGCGAGGACTACTTCCATCTAAAATCACGAGATTTTCATAACATTTCTCTTGATATCTGATTGAATGATTTAAAGTTAGTTGAAAAGTTAACCCAAAGGGCTATAATATTGCTAGAAATAGAATTTTTCAATTCAAACATTTACAATACAAAAAATGGGTCTCAATTTTTGCATAAAAATTTGGAATATAACTTGTGTGATTGGAAATTAATTTGTGAAAATACTTTGATTATATTTCATTTCTTTTCTAGATTTGGTTGCATTTAATTGACTCCTAGTAATTTTTAATTATCGTAATCGACTATTGAATATTTACAATTGGGTCTTCAAATCTTGGAATTCATCTTTTTTCTTCGATTTTTGTTCATTTCTTCTAATTTCACTTCCAATTATCGAGTTACTAATAATAAATGAAATATACACAAGATAAGTTTATAATTTAGCAAAAGAACAATGAAATGTCAACATTTTAAAATCACTTACCATTGGTTATGGTTCATAAATATAAAATCTGGGCAAACGAAAATATATATATATATATTATGAAAACTAAAAGCGACAGAGCGTAAATAAATCTATGCCTTTGGTAGAATTCTTGTGAACTGCAAAAATAACAGCAAAAAAGGAAATTTCTTGTCATGATTCTCAAGCGGTATGCACTGGGCTGAGCAAAACTCTGGAATTGAACCGAATCGAGCGATTCTTTTTAAGTTAAATATATGAACAAGTATCTAAATTGAAAACTAATGAGTTTGGTTCAGTTCTCTACTCTAGATCAAGAACCAAAAAATCAAAAAAGAATCGAATCTCACTAATTTTTTTAATTAATTTATTTTAAATAAGTCAAATTCTTTTATTTTTTTAAAATAAATTTGCTAACTAGATAATTTTATTTTTTTATTTCTAATTTTTAGTTCAAAGCCAACTTAATCAAATTGATCTAAATTTTATCCAAATCGTTTACTCTACTGTTCTGGAGAAATCAAATTAAAACTTGACAAAGCTTCTTTTAATTAGTGTGATCTCCCTATCTTCCTCTTCCTATAATTTTAACAATCCAATCTATGAAGAACTCGCTAAAAAAGACGCAAAAGACACATAAGATTGGACTACGTTATTTTATAAGAGTTAAAATTGAACATATCATTAGTTGAATTAATACAGGTTTGTAAATATTAAAAAATTTAATTATAATACGGAATCGAATGGAAACGAACCAATCAAACTGAATCAATAGAACTGAATCCGAATGGTTTCATAATTAAATTTGAACCCGACGGTTTAACTTGTTAAATACCCAAAAATTTTGAGTCTAGTTCGATTCTTGTTAAAATCAAATCGAATTAGATTATATCCAATCCTATCAAACGATGAACTATCCATTTTTATGTGTACAAAAATTATTCTATACGACCGTAATACATGTACAAGAATTATTCTAGACGGACAGGACCTCGTTGGCCTTGTCCGTCCAACATCATCCATGTGAACAAATACGAGATATTTATGACAACTTTTGAAATTCAAATTGCCAATCTCAAAAAGTATGCACACCTTCAATTATTTCTAACTTTAATTTTTCAAATGAATAATTTATTTTTAAAAAGATGAGATGAAAAATAATAATTTATTTCTTCACTGCTTGTGAACATATTGTGTGTGTGCGCGCGCACAACACGAAGTTTAGTATGCACAGTAAATTTATGAAAAGATGAATCGATAACAGTAATAAAACAAAAAACACAATATGAACTATGATATGACAACTGCCGTTGCTATAATTGGTGGGCCCCATATGCGTGGAGGGCTGTACACTATGAGGTACAACCACCACAATCCAATAATAATAATAACCATGTCAGCTATGTTTGATGTGACATGTACGAATTGCTCAGAATTTCTTTCAAAATCAAATGAAAAGAAATAAAAAAAATGACGCATCCCAGAAAAAACAAGACACTAATATGATGTTACTTGATCCACTTGTGGTTTTAGGGCCCGTTTCGCATATTGTTTTAGCCCGGTTTGATACTTATTACTTGAAAATGAAAATGGAGGGAATAATATTTTTTAGAAAAATGAGTAATTAAAAAAGAATGAAAAGTTTTTGATTTACGTATAATATTATTTTATGAAAAATTATGTGGTTGAAAAATAAAAGAGAAAAAAAATGAAATATAATGTAATTGAATTTAATGGAGATCAAACGGGGGCTAAAAGTCAAAAGAAATTTTTGAGATTCAAAAGTTGTTTTTGAATTCGTTTGACTAATTTTTTTAAAATACTTTGGTAATTAAAATAATTTTTAGATGAAATTGGTTCGATGTACTTTCTTATAAACGCACTTTTGAAATGTAAAGTACTTTTCAATATTTTTCAAACAAAAATTACAATAATTTCCTCCAAAAAAAACTCTTCAATAAAATTCAAAAGCAAAAACTTTGCCAAACTGGCCCTTAGACAATTTTACTTTAATTAATATTGTAAGTTTCCACCAACTTTATTAACCCATTATCCTTTTAACCGGATAGTCTAATCTAAAATAACTTTTTTTTCGTATTGAAGACTTCTAATTAACATTAAAGTTACTTGGACAGATAAGCCCCCGTTTGATCCCCATTAAATTCAATTACATTATATTTTATTTTTCTTTCTCCTATTTTTAATCACATAATCTTCCATAAAACAATATTACACGTAAATAAAAAACTTTTCCTTCTTTTTCAACCACTCATTTTTTTTAAAACACTATCCCCCCATTTTCAAGTAATGGAGGCTTAAATCCAGGGTTGGAAACAGATCTTTAAAATTTCCAACGTGGCATCCTCTTTTTGGAGGGAGGGAACACACTTTGGAGGCAAATGTATTGACTTTTCCCACTTTCTTCAATTATTCACTGTAAAAACACTGAAGTGGCACTTCTCGTTTCTTTCGTCTTCACGTTCCTTAAGTCTCAGAAACCTTCGGAGAAGGAGTGAAAAATATTCAATTCACAAACAGTAGAGAAATTACGGGACCCTCCTATTTTGGTAATACTTCTTCTTCATTTTAGTTTCTACGTATTTCTGTAATTCTTTTAATTCATTTCAGCTCATGTGTAATTTTGTAATTCTTTCATTTTCACTGTTACTACGGGGTCCTCTATGTTGGTACTTCTTCTTCCTCATTTTCGTTTACGTGTGTTTTGTTACTTCTCCTTTTTCTTCATTTCTTTGCCGTTATTTTACTATAAAATACGTGAAAAGAAAATGTGGCTGGAGAATGAAGCATTCAGTGGCCAAACAGTGCTAGAATTGTGTCGGAGCACTGGCATCACCTTTGATTGGAGTTCGGCCGGAGACGATTAGGGTTTTGATTTCGATTTAGAGAGAAGTGGATTTTGTGGGTTTTACATTTCAGGTTTTGTGTATTTGCATTTGTGGGTTTACGAATTTCACGTTTTTGAAAGTTTTCTTTTTGTTTGGTTTTGGTGTTGTCTCTTTCTAATGCCACGTCAGCCTGGTTTTAATCCTGGCCGTGTAGCGCTATCGTCTAATCAATTACGAACTATAAAAATAGTTCAATATCTATACACTTATTTTTCCTCTATCAAAATTTAATTATTTGACCAAGATATAATTAAAATTAAATTATTTTACTTTAATCTCTCAACTTTCAAAATATAAAANTTTAGTCATGCGTGTTTCGTAATAACTTTTTATAGCCACACCAATTTTATTGTACTATTGATCCATTTTATATAATAATGTATCCTGTTATTACTCCTAAAGAAGCACAATTCTACAAATATTAATATTACATTAAATGTTACTTGCTCGAGAAAAGCATAATTTTATAAGATTTAAAATATGTTATGTTTTTCTTCTTGAGTAAATAATTATATAATTTAATATTTCTAGACAATAATTAGTTATTGCTCTTGAAATAGCACAGCATTATATTAATTTTTTAGAAAATATTACTTGCCCCTAAAAAGCATGTCATTATAATTTTAATATTATAGAAGAATATTGATCTATTGATCTTGAAGAAGTAGTAATAAAATTTAATATCATTTAACAAATAAAAATAATATTTTATTGTGCTCTATAAATTAGTACATGTCTCCAAAAAAATTATAGGATCGATCTTATGAAGAGATCCAATCTATATGAAAATTTTATGAAAATAAGTTGTTTACTTTAGAAGAATCACAACTTTACAAATCTACAAATATTCTAGAAAAATATTTTATTGTTATTCCTAATAATTTTTTGTATTAATATTTTAGTAGAATATTACTTCTTCTCAAATAGCATAATTTTACAAGATTTATTATTTTATAATATTATTGTGCTAATACTTTTAAAGAGCAAATGTAACATGATTAATAATAATTTATTAACATGATTAATAATAATTTATTGGTATCCTGAAGAAGCATAAATTAACCAACTCAATATTAAATTATAATTTGAAAAGAATTTTCTTTATTTTGTTAATATTGATTAATCAAATGCTATTGACATGGTTCCAGTTGAACCACAAATGGCTTAAAATGATGAGATTTTAATAAATTATTTATTATTTCATAAATGATTAGAATGAAATAATATTTTT